GGCGGGAAGCCTGCTTCTCCCTCCCTCTCCCACTCCCCCTGCTTGTGTTCCCTCTCTCGCTGTGTCTCTCTCTGTCAAATAAATAAATACTTAAAAAAAAAAAAAGAAAAGTAATTGAAAAGGTGGGTATGGGAGGATGGGCAAGGGCACCCAACTGAGACTATCCACTCACTCCGCACAGCCTGGAGTTTCAGGAAGTTTTCCATGGAGCAAAATCCCTTGATTTGGAAAGACTTTCCGGAGCCACTGGGGACAACCCCTCCCTTCTTTGACCCGTATGTGACCATCCTAGCCACTGGGGACTGACTGTCCCAATTTTAGTATATGTGCTGCCGAAGCGAGCACTGGGGACTGACTGTCAAGGACCATTTGGCTGGGGTTATGGGAGAATACAACTATAGGCCACGCCCCTCTCAGCTACTTGGGGCCACTGGACACTCCCATTTCCCCTCACATTCGCTCGGGGCCTTTTGTCTGCCCCCCTCACCTTTATTCATGCCACGGAGCCACTCCTGGGCTGTCAGAGACGGCCAGGCTCCTGCCGTGGGCGGGTAGATGTCCTCTTGATAAGACTCCGACTGCAGGAGAAGCCAGGACAGTGAGGACTGGGGCGGCAAAGGGGCTGCCCAGATGGGAGGGCCCTCAGGGATCTGGGGTCCAGGCTTTCCCCACCTAGGAGTTGAAGAAACCAAGGCCCAGGGAGCAAAGGGACATGCCCAAAGTCACACGGCAACTCAGGAGCAGAGATGGGGTGGGACTCAGGACCCTTAGCTCCCAGCAACACTGCACGGACAATGAGAAAGGCCTTTCCCTTGAGGAGTGGCCATCAGCCTCCTTGCTGCTAGCCCAGGGGCATGGGCTCTGGGCTCCAGGTGCCAGGGCCTGTGCTCTCCAGGAGGGGTTCCCGCCTCCCTCACAGATGGCCACACCACCCTTACCCGCCGGGGTACAATCATGGATATAGGCTCAATGAGGCCTTTGCTTGCAATCAGCTTGTAGAAGCGGAAGATCTCGCAGGAGGTGACGTCGAGACCTCTCTTTGGCATGACACCTGCGGGCAGATGGCCAAGGAGGGCTCAGAGGTTCCGGCTGGGCTGGAGTCACAGGGACCCAGGGTGAGTGGCAAAGCCAGACTGCACATCTGGGCATGAGCAGAGAGCACCCTCCTCCCACCACCCTTCCCTCTACAGACAGTTCATGAGCAAATACCTATGCTGGGCTGGGCCCTGTGCTGGGAAAATGGGGTTAAAGTAATCAGACTTGGTCCTCACCTCCAAGGACTTCAGTGATTTTAGCTAGACTTTACGGGAACCGTGCTCTGCTCAAGGCCCTCCCTCACCACCCCCTCACTTGTGCCCGAGCTGCTCTGAACAGAGCTCCTGCCCCTGTTTTCTGTTGATTAGTGCTAGCATGGTGTCTTTCTCCTTCCCTTTGCCTTTAATCTAGCTGTGTCTTCATGTTCAAGTGGGTTTCTTATAGACAACGTGGAGACGTGTCTTTTTTTTTTTTTATCCCCAGATACACTTTTAAAGCAGGGGCTCTCCTAGGTCAGTCTCTCTTATGTCATGGCTACTGTTGTAACTGCTCCACCTTGGCCTAGAACGCCTTCATGCTCTCCCTATGCTGTGCTCTGCTCCCCTTTTGGCTCCTCAAGTGTTGCCTCCTCTGGAAAGCCTTCCTTGACTTCCTGCTGCTTGCTCCTAGAGAACCTCCTGCACACCGCCATTAGAGCTCCCACAGAGTCAGTGTTGATCCGCCATCTGCCCTGCCGAATGGGGGCCCCTCCAGGGCGGGGCCCTCATCTGACTCGGTCCTGTCTCCCCAGGCCCCATGTGGCCTCAGTGTTCCATACTCACCCATCCCCTTCTGTGGGCTATGGGAGCGGTATTCTGTCAAGTAGCTCAGGTGAGGTTTGTCGGCGCTCACCTCATAGTAGCGGATGTTTCCATCTCCCTGAGGAGGGGGAGGGTACAACTCAGAGCCGCTTCCCGTCAGCCCCCTCCCGGCCCCCGCAGCCATGCAGCAGAAACCCGGTGTTACAGCGACAGAAGAGCTGGCAAAGCCACTCCACACAAGAGAACACCAGGGAGCTGTCATCAAAGCAGCAGGGGGTCCTCATTTTAACACTCGATCCCCCCAACCATGACCCAAAGCCCACCTCTGTGCCTCCAAAGCAGAAGCTCTGGGAGCACAGGCCTGAGTCCCACTCCCAGCTGCACATAAAGGTCAGGAGTGGTGGGTCCTGAGATCATCCAGTGGGTCTCACCGCTGGGGCATTTCTGGTTGTCGCTGTGCTGGTGACTGGGGAGGGGTAGGGGGCAGGGAGCACTGCTCCAGGCATTGGTGGGTGGGAGCTACGGTGTCAAGTACAGGATGGTCTCACCCAATGAAAACCTGCTCCACCCCAAATTCGAAGGTACCCCTATTGAGAAACACCAACGGTGTCTCCTCATCTAGCCCCAGAACTGAGGAGCGACAAGCTTGGGGTGTCTGACCAAAGCCCTGGCCCTGGGCGTTCCCCGGAAGCCAGGACGGTGGGATGGGGTACCGTGTTCACCACAGGGAGATTCCTGCTCGTCCCTATCCCTGCCCTGCATCCCAAGAGCCCCCGGCGGCTGTCTGGCTAGCGGTAGGGTTAGGCTGGGGAAGTCCTGCTCCCTGCTCCCTCCCATGCCAGGCTGACCTTCCCCACCACGTAGAGCATGTTGGTGTCCGCGTCATAGAAGGGAAACAGCACGCCCGAGGAGCCATCCAGGTCCATCTCTGAGAGAGGCTGGGAGAGGTTGTCCTGCAAGAAAAGGGAGACCAGGAAGGCCTGTGGGTCACTCCTGGAGGTCCTCAGTGGTGTTCTCGGAGATGGGAATGCCTGCCAGGGGGCTCTGGGTGAGTGTGAGTGTGTGTGTGTGCGCGCATGCATGTGCATGTGCATGTGAGAGGGAAGGAGACAGAGGGAAAGAGACCACCGCCTTTTATTCTGCCGGCATTTTGCCTTCAACCCATCACCTCTCACACACCTGCTCGCACACCAGCCCTCCGCCTGTTTATTTGTTGTAAAAGATGAAGGAGGAGGTTCAGAGAGAGGAAGCGATTTGTCCGGTCTTTGAAACTCTAGCCAAGGGCTCCTTCAAATCAATACTGCTTGGCTTGGCCCCTACCCTCACTGCCCTCTGCCGCTCCCCCTACCCACCTGCCTTAGTGTTCGGTTCCAAGCCCTTGCTCCAGCTGTTCCTTCTGCCCAGAGGGACATCTCCTCTCTCTCCCCCCACCCCCCGCCCTGTCCTGGTCCCCGGAGTGGCCACCTTCCCCCAACCCCGACACTCCCTCCTTGAAGGAGAAGATGCACAAGGTCTGGGCTCGCTCCCTCCGGCTGTTGGCATCCCCCTGTTTTTCATCCCTGCATCCTTAGCACCAGGCAGGCTCTGCTAAGTACATGCTTGAGCAATGAGTAGGGCATGAATGAAAGAGTGAATGAATGAAGCCAGCACTCGGCTGAAAGGCGACGGCGAGGGGCAGGGCAGGGTTGCACGGGAGACTCACCTGGTCCCACACGGCCAACTGCCGGTTGTTCCATCGGGATGTGCCCGTGGACAGCAGCTTATTCAGGTGCCCCAGAAACAGCACTTTGTTGGCCCGGTGCTCCGTGCAGTTGGCTTCCTGGACGGACACGTGCGGTCAGGGGCTCGCGGGTGGCAGCTAGGGGCTCTGGCCTCCCTGCTTTTGCTGCTGCCGCTGCGGTACCTAGAATGCCTTCCTTGCTCACCACCTAGCTCTGCTCCGAGAATCTTTCCAGAGGTACCACCTCCCGGAAGCCTTGCAGAGACCCTCCCATCCACATGGAGTCGCTCCTACTATTTTTGCTGAGGGTTCTTTTCCTGAGCTAGGATAGAGCTCCGTGCTCTTGCTGAAAGATGCCTGGGCGCTCACTGTATGCAAGGCCTGGGGCTGGGCGGGCACTGTCACCTGCGTTATCTCGTTCAATCCTCCTGGAGGAAGGACTCATGACCCGCTGTTGCAGATGGGGAAGCAGAGGCTCAGAGAACAGAAGTGCTTGTCTACGGTCACACAGCAGGCGGCAGGAGTGACATGCCTCCTGACAGAGCTAAGGCACACTGACAAATTCTGGAGTTAGACCAGGTTCAAAGCTCAGCTTTCAAGGTGGGCAAGTCACCTGACCTCTTTTCAGCCTCCGTTTTCTTCATCCAAAGAATGGGGGCGACATATCCTACCTCCCAGCAGCGCCAAGAGGACAGACGGAGCTAGCACACGTGAAGGCTTGGCCCCAATGCTGACAGCATTAACACCCTGTTCTCCGAAGCCTCCCCCAGCCGCTCACCACTCCTTGCTCCTCTGCCCCCAAGCCAGACCCCAGCCCAGCACAGACCTGGAGGACGGCCCCTGCCCGGGGGTCGAGAACCCGAATCTTGCGGTCTTTACAGGTGGTGGCCAGCAGGCTGCCGTTGGTGTTGAAGGACATGGAGAGGACCGTGCCTTGGTGGCAGGTAATCGTCCGCACGGGGTTCATGATTATAGACTCCTTTGTGTCCAGGTTCCAGACCATTACCTGTACAGCAATGAGCTGGCTCTGAGCACAGCGGCCACCCCGCCCCTGGCTCCCACAGTCGCACGCCCGCCAGGCTGCAGTGAAACACGGTATCCCCAGGAGGGAAGCCGCAGATGGCAGTCTGGCCAAGAAGCCTCGGGTGGGAGGATGGATCTGCCGGCTGAAGCTGCCACGTGGCAGGAGGGGAAGCCGGGAGTCAGGCAGTCTGGCGGTGAAAAGAAAACACCATCTGCTTTGGAGCAACAAACCATCCATGCTGGGAGGACCCCAGGGGACGAGCTAGTCCAGGGGCTTTCACACACTTATTAGCAGCAGTTTCCACCTCACACAGATAAACAGGGCTGCCATGTTCAGCCGCGTAGGTTGTGCACTGCACAGCTCCAGGGCAATCCCTTCCCATAGCCCGTGACGTGACCTGCGCCCCGTGGAGTTGTGTGCAGAATAACTTGCACAACCGTATACGGTAGCCCTGCAGACACATCCTACATAAACGGATAAAAGAGTGCTTCTGATCAGAAGGGGGTGAGAGGCTCTGTCAACCACTCCCATCCCACCCTTTATCGATTACAGAGGTGCCCAAAGTGCCTCTATAAAGCCCTATGTTGTGAAGGGGAGAGTTTAAAAGCCATGGCTATGGTCACACCAACCCCATTTGTGTACAAATTGAGAAACTGAGGCCTAGGGAAGACAAGGGACTCTCCTAGTTCCTACTGCAAAGCAGAATCTAGGGCTCCTCTACTATGAATTTTCCCAATCCCCAGGGCCCACAGACTGCCAGCTTCTCAGTCAACGGGGCAGTGGGAAGCTTCTCTGGATAGGACCCAGCCTATCCCCTCCAGGAGGACTAACGGGTTGAATAGTGTCTCTCCCAAAACTCATGTCCACTGGAGCCTCAGAATGTGACCTTATTAGGAAACAGTGTCTTCACATATGTAATTAGCTATGATGAGGTCATACTGGATTGGGGTGGACCCTACATCCAGTGACCGGTGTCCTTATCCGAAGACGAGAGGACACGCACGTGAAGCTGGAGGCAGGCTGAAGCGGTGCAGGTGCAGGCCAGGGAATGCAGGGAGCCATCGGAAGTTACAAGAGGCACGGGAGGGTGCTGCCCTAGGGTCTTCAGAGGGAGTGCGGCCCTCCTGACACCTTGATTTTGGACTTCTGGTCTCCAGAACTATGTGAGAATACATTTCTGTTGTCTGAAGTGCCCAGTTTGGTCATGTTACGGCAGCCCCGGGAAATGAGTGCATGGACCCACCTTGAAGTCGTAGCCAGAGCTGAAGAGGATGTTGGCAGCCGTCGGGTGCCACTCCACCAGGCCCACCCTGCGGGTGTGGCCCATCAGCTCCTTCTTGCAGACTGTGAGGTTCTTGGTCAGCAGCTGCTTGGGGATGTCCCAGATCTTAATCTTTCAGGGGAGACACAGGCGGGGGTGGGCGCATTGTTAGCCAGGCCACCTCGGTACCCCGGCCACCCTAAGCCACAGAACTGGCAATGCCCAGCAGAAGGGCCAGGGGAGCGCTCTCCGTATGCATCTCTCACTCAACGGAGGCGCACCTGGAACCCTCAGAGGGCCAGAGGCTTTGCCAAGGTCTTCCGGCCCAAGGAGGGGCTGGCGTTGCCAGAGTTGAGCCCCGGCCTCCAAATCTGCCTCCTGGTAATAAGCTTTGCCATCCTAATGGCCTGTGTCATGGGCAGCTGGGCGGGCCACAGGCCTGACTCCCAGGCTGGATGTCAGATCAAATCCACCTCCCAGCCTAGAATATCCCTCAAAGTACAGTCGTCTACCCCCTCCTTGTCCCAAAGGCTCAGCCTAGAGCCCCGAATGCCCGGAGCAAGTGTTTGTGCTCTGTCATCAGAACACTAGGGAGCCAGTGCAGTCTCTGGAGCAGGACAGGGTGGGGCCAAGCTCTTTCCTCTGGAGTGGCCCCCTTGGATGGCCTCAAAGAGGAAAGATGAAGGGCCAGAAGGACAGGCTGGATGGGGTCATGGCCTGTATTTCACAGGAAGGGTCTGGGAAGAGGAGCTGGGGCTTCCTTTCAGAGTAGTGTTGTCGAGGAAGGAAGGGGCTTCCACAGAAGAAAGTAAGCTTCCTGTTAAAGAGGCATACAAATGGAGCTGGGGGGGCGGGGGGGGTGACACAGAGGGGATGGCAGAAACTTGATGCTCTTTGTCGTCCTTCAGAGCTCTCAGGCCCCTAGGTGACTGTACATCCCCTTTCCCTCAGAGATTACAAGGGTTTTCAGGTAGACTTTGCTTTCAATTCAACACATATTCACTCCCTGGTCATCTGGATTTAACCCCAGGAAGGCAAGCCCACGAGTGCCAGAGGTTCCCGATGAGGCGCTGGGTGAACGCTATGACTGCACGGGACTGGCCGCCGCAGGACGGTGGACTCTGGGCAGGTCTGTGTGCAGACACCATCCCCCATGCTCCTCAGAGCTAGAGGGCCGTCCCTGCCCCACGGGTCCTGGGGACAGGGAGGACACAGCAGAGCACTTTCCATGGGAGGGCCTGGGGTTAGGCACTCCCACCCCCCACCCCCCAGAGCCAGGTGCACTCCTCCTGCCCCTGGGGCATCTGGGAAGGAATGGGGGCCAGAGATGAGGATAGCTAGGAATTTCATAAAGACCCTGAAGGGAGTCTTCAAAGCAGGACTTGAAAAGGCAGGTATTCTAGGAGTGGGGACAGACTCCGATACTGGATATCCGCCCCTGGAGACAAGGCCAATTCTCCCAGGGCCTGACCGCATCTTCAGTGAAACTACCTCAGCAGACACTGTCTTTTATGCTCCTTGGCATCCCCTTGTGCAAAGTGACACAAGTCCTCTTAGAATTTTCTACCTGCTTCTCCTGAGGAACTGCTCTGTTTCCTTTCATCAGACAGTGAGGGTTCCGCAATACATTCTATTTCCCTTTTTGCCTTGACTGCTAGGCAGCTCTGAGCTAACCCTGGAGCTCAGCAGTTGAAACCCTTCACAGCCAACGTCCCAAGGATCATTTCTTCAATTCCTCTATCCGTGGCTACTGCTATTTAGGGAAGGGGCATAGCTCAGTGGAGATATACTGGGCTCTGGAATCAAGCCTTAGTCTGAGGCCTTGCTCAGCATCCACAGCCTGTGTGACTTTGGGCAAATTGCTGAACCTCTCAGATCCTCAGGTTCTCCATAAGAAAAATATCCTACCTTGTGGGGTTGCCGGAAAGACAGGGTGAAATAGTGAGAGTCAGGACCGTGGGCTGTGTATTTTGTTTTAAGCCATACTCACTGCATTTTAGAGGTGGGCAAAGAATAAATTATAAATAAATAACATCGAACATTGTGGGAAGCAGGGATTATGACCCTGGTACAGAACAGGGGCTCAAAAGGTTGGTGGGGCTGAAGCTTTGGGGACGGTTGTGGTGCCCACATTCATATAAGGATCCCACTTCTACCCTTTTAAAGCTCCCTTCCCCACTGTCTGTGAAATTAAGTGTCACAATATTTTCTGGCAACAACAAAAAATGCTCCTCAAAGCATTTTATAGTTCCCCCAGAAGATGGGCTTTTCCACTGGACTATGAGTCTCACTGGATCCTCATTAGATAGTTGGGAGCTATTATGCCCATTCTAGAGGTAGTGGGACTGAGGTCCAGAGAGAAGATCTAAAGGGGTGGTGCCCCAACTCCTAGAGCCCAGAACTTCTCCTGCACAATCTCACTGAGTCCCTCCCTGCCACAGTGGCCTCACCTCATGAATGATCAGGGCATCAGGAGCATCTGAGCCCAGAACAGACACCATTTCACCTCCCCGCGCCCCAAGCCCCCTCCTCTCGGGAAAGGGAACCGCCTCTCGCGCTGACACTCACTGTGGTATCTTCAGAGCAGGAGGCGATCTCAAAATCATTAAAAGGATTCCACTTGATGTCTAAGACGTTCCCTCTGTGCCCGCAGACCCTTGGGTAGTGGGGGTCCAACTTTCCCGTCTGCAAAACAGTGCCCAGGAGTGTTGGGGAGAAGAGGGGGCTAACTCCACTTAAGCATCCGGACGGTCCCTTGGCAGTCAGCAATCACTGAGTAGACAGGAAAACGTAAGGGACAGACGGGGTGTGAATCTAGGCCCGACCACCATTCTCGGTGTGATGCTGGGGGGAGTCACATCACTTCTCTGAGTCTCTATGTCTTCCTCAGTAAAATGAAGGCAATAATAGGTATTTCCCAGGGTTCACATGAGGATCACAGGAGATGAGGTGTGGAAAGGGTCTAGCACAGTGCCTAGCACATAGTAGGTATTCAGTACAAGGATATTTGCCCTCACACACTGCTGGTGGGAATGCAAAAATGGTGCAGCCGCTTTGGAAAACAGTCCGGCAGTTCCTTAAAAGGTCAGACATAGAGTTACCATGTGACCTAGCAATTCCACTCCAAGGTATATCCCCAAGAAAAGTGAAAACACAGGCCTACAAAAAAACTCACACACCAATGCTCACAGCAGCGTTATTCATAATAGCCAAAAGGTGGAAACAGCCCAAATGTCCATCAGTGGATGAATGAATATACAAAATGTGGTATATTCATATAATGGAATATTATTCGGCTAAAAAAAAAAGGAATGAAGAACCAACACATGCTACAACATGGACGAGCCTTAAAAACACGCTAAGTGAAAGAAGTCAGACATAAAAAGCCACACATTACAGGATTCCACATAAATGACCAGATGTGGTACCAGACGTGGTTTCATTGTTAAGAGCAAATTAATACATCTTCTAGTACCCAGTCTTCAGAAGGCTGACTAATACCTGAAAACAGGTAAATCCATAGAGACTGAAAGCAGATTAGTGGTTGCCCAGGACCCG